CTCATCCTTCGATTCCGTCTTGATGAGGGTCGATGAATATTGCTCATTGACATAGAGCGCAACCCCTCCCCCTTTCTTCCCCACTCTGTCCTTTCTGTACAGCCTATAACCCTCAATATGTACCGCCCAGTCGTGGGACGAATCCCACCAGGTTTCTGTTAGCCCTACTAAGTCATAGGTGTTTTCTGCAAGCAGGAGTGCTAGCTCATCCTGCTTGTTCCCCATGCTCCTAGCATTAGTATATAGGCACTTGAGCCCTGTGACTGGTGCCTTTGCTGCCCCCCCGCTCCGAATCCCAAGGGGCCCCTTATTTCTTACCTTCTTGTTGCTTACCTGTGCTGTATTGCTGGCCGCCCCATGGCTTGCAGGATCCCAATGTTCTCTTTCTTCAGGCTGGGCTATCCTTGTGGGTGCCACATGGTTTGGTGGTCCACAGCTTCCCCCGCCCTCATCTTCCACTCCCCCTGATGAGCCTAGTTTAAAGCCCGCCGGAGGAGATCCGCCAACCTTGAAGAAAACACACGCTTACCCTTGGGGGACAGGTGAAGCCCATCCCAACTGAGCATGTCCCTCGTCGTAATGTGCGGGTCGTTGTCCAGGAAGCCGAAGCCTGCCTCGAGACACCACTGCCGAAGCCGCCAGTTGGTCTCTCTGATGCAGTTCTCATGCCGTCTTCCGCGTCCGTTCACTGGTAGGATGGAAGAGAATACCACTCGTGGCCCATGCAGGTTGAGCCCCTCTATGGCATGTGGCTCTGGCCAGTTCCAGAATCTGCACGTGGTGGCAGGAAGTGGGGCCAGGCCAGCCCAGTTCTATTGCATAGGGCTCCTTGTGACTTATGTGCAGCTCTCGGGACTTGCACACCACCAAGAGGGAAGCCCTACATTATGGAGCCAGTGGCCTGGCCCCACTAACTTTCATCACTTGCAGCTGCAGGGACCCCACTGGGAAGAAGAGAGTATAGCTGAGCCAGACTGGCTCCATTTCATGGGGCTCCCTTCCACTTCTGGTGGAGCCCTGGTCTGGACTCTGCACTCCTGCTGCCCTTTTGGGTGCAAGCCCTGTGCTTCGAGTGCTGCACTCCTGCTGGCCTCAATCCCACACTCTGCGCTCATGCCCAATTGCAGCTTCCCCCCACTCTGCCTGCCCCCCATACCCTACCTGCTGCCCAGAGCACTGCAGCAGTGATAGAAGGAGAAGCTGGAGGATGAGGAAGCGGAGCAGCTCCCCAGGAGGCAGCAGCAGCTCTGCCCGGAAGCTATGCACACTGGCTGGGGCTGGGGCTGGGGCTGGGGCTGGAGCCCTCCCATGCAAAGCATGCTGCCCTGGCGGGAGTGGGTGGGGCTTGGATTCAGCTCATGCGCTGTATTTTGCCTGGTCTGATGTGTCACAGTTGCTAAGCAACATTTGGACACTAAACACAGGATTTTTGTGTTATTTTATTTTTAGTTATTTTAAAATATAATACATCTAAAATATATAACTTTTTTTCAACTCACCCAACCTCTCAAAAAAAAACAACTCACAGTTTGCATCTCCCTTGATATGATGCCATGCCTCCCCAGGGAGGCCCACCTCATAGTTTGAAGACCGCTGCTCTAGTCTGACCTCCTATCTCTCAAAGCCCAGAGGACAGCCCTGATCTCTCTGACAAGCTCAGAATTTCTGGCTGTGCTAGAGCACACAACTTAAATTACACTTAGACCATACTGATATAATTTAAAATGCGAGTGTCTGTATGTTAAAGCATGTGTTTTGTGTGCTAAGTGCCCTCTGAGCATCTTAAACTTGTATCACTTCAGGCAAGGGTTAACTCTGGGCCATGCTACCTAGTTTGTGTTAGGGTAACTTCAGTCGGCTTCATGGAGATAAAAATGAGCAACTTGTAGACCTCCAGCATCCTAGGATACACTACTCAGCTTCCTCTTCAAGCAGGGATAGAGCCCTGGCTCCTGGCCACACCCTTGCTCACCAGCCGTCTAGTGGCAAGTCAAAGCCGCACAGGGAAAAACAATATTGTCTCTTAATGTGAGACTGCTCAAAGCAGGGCTGGGCAATTATTTTGGGCAGAGCGCCACTTACCCAGTTTTGGCAAGCTGTCAAGGGCTGCATGGGTAGCCCCGCCTCTTGGCAGGTGCCTCTCCCCCTGGTCACCATCTTGGGGCCAATGTCCCACTGTCTTGGGCCCAGGGCCAGCACCAGTGGGGCCCAAAGCAGGGTGCAGCATGGCAGGAGCCAGGCAGGGCTGCACCAGCAGGGAAAGTGGGGAGCTGTCCCGGCTCCACAGAGACCCTGCCGGCTGGGACCCTGCGCTCCTGCCGCCCTGCTCTGGGCCCCACTGGTGCTGGCCCCGGGACATGCCAGTTTGGGCCCTGTGCTCCCACTGGCTCCCTTCCTGCTCACTCCCAGTGCCCCCCAGCCCCATGGTACAGGCAGGGGGCAGTGTGCAGCCCCGACCCCCTGTTCGCCGGCAGGGAAGGAGCTGGTGCTGAGCACAGGGAAAAGTGGCCCTTCCCCCACCCTGTTGCCAGCGCACCCTGCTACAGCTGCTTGCAGCCCATGTGGGGCTGTCCTGAGCAGGCACAGGCAGCCCCGTGTGGGATGCGAGCAGCTGCAGCATGGGGCACCGGCCATGGGGTGGGCAAGGGACCACTTTTCCCCATGCTCAGCACCAGCTTGTAACCCGACCCCGCAGCCAGCCTGGGCTGCGCGCCAGCTCCAGGCTTGCCCATCAGGGCTGCGCTGCAGCGGGAGCAGCTGCTTGCTGTGGAGGAAAGCAGCTTCCCCCACTTGCCATGCCGGGCACTGTTTGATGCTTCTGCTCGTCCAACGCTCATGCGCTGGGCAGCCCAGAGGCAGCAGTGGCAAACACTGCCCAGCATGGCAAGTGGGAGGTCGCTTTCCTCCGCACCAAGATGCTGCTCCTGCCGCAGTGCAGTCCCAACAGGCGAGTCTGGAGCCGGTGCAAAGCCCAGGCTGGCAGTGGGGGTGGGTTACAAGCTGGTGCTGAGCATGGGAAAAAGTGGCCCCTTGCCCACCCCGTTGCCAGCGCCCCACGCTGCAGCTACTCACAGCCTGCACGGGGCTGCCTGTGCCTGCTCAGGACAGCCCCACATGGGCTGTGAGCAGCTGCAGCAGGGAGCACCGGCTACGGGGCGGGGGAAGGGCCACTCTTCCCCAGGCTGCTTTTCCCCTGCCATTCCCCCACCTTACCTGAGATGCTGCGCAGTGCAGCCACATGGTCCCAGGCCAGAAGCCCCTGCTGGGGCTTCCAGCTGGGGGGGTGGGGCCAGGCGGGTCCTGCTGTTGCAGAAACTTGCCAGGGCTTCCCCTGGGTCTTACTGCCTCTGACTCCTGTCATTTTTGACGGGAACCAAGGGCAGATAAATATTAATTTTCTAAATTTTTTAAAGGCCCCATGGGCTGGATAGAATGGCCTCATGGGCTGGATCTGGCCTGCGGGCTGTATTTTGCCCACCCCTGGCTTAGAGCATGTTCTAACTTTAACACTGCTTAAAAACATTCCACAGATTTAGTATGGTCTAAATGTAATGTGTAATTTCACCCTTAGGAAAAGAACATGGGGGATGGGAATCCCCCATGTTTTAGGGTAAAGTGGTAAATTCTCTTCCCTGCACCTTACTTCTGGCCTGAATTTGTCAAGCTTCAGCCTCCAGATTCTGCCTTTGTGACATTAACAGGCCTTTTGCTTTCAGAAAGCTCCTCCCTTGTCAGTCCCACCAACTAGGCACTTACATGCCATGAACAGGTAAGTCCCTATTCTCAGCCAGGTTGGCCAATCTTCTAGACTGGGCTTTAAACTAAGATTGCTGGGGGACAGGGAAACACTGACTGGAGCATGCCCGGGGACCAACACACATGAAAGCTCCATAGATAGGGACACTAGGAGAGACACTCGTGTGGGAACTGAGGGAATAGATCCCCTTCAGCATGACAGGAAGCTGAGGGTCTCAATAGGACTCAGGTGCCTGTACACTAATGCCAGGAGCATGTGCAATAAGCAGGAGGAAAGCTCCTGCCCTCTGGTGGGCATAACGACCTAGTAGGGATTATGGAGACCTGGTGGGACTCCTCATATGACTGGAGCATAGCCATAGAGAGCTACACCCTGCACAGAAGGGACCAGGTAGGGAAGAAAGGTGGAGGTGTAGATCTCTATGTGAAGGAACAGTATACCTCCTTGGAGGCCGACATAGGCTCCAAAGCAAAACAGCTTGAAACCCTCAGTGGTCAAGCTGTGGGGGGGGCACAAAGAGAAAGACCTAACTGTAGGTGTATACTACAGGACACCAAACCAGGGGGAGGAACTCGATCTAGAGTTTTCCCAAGAACTGGCACAGCCCACATGTACACGGAACATGGTCGTCATGGACGACTTCAATTATCTGGATATCTCTTGGGAAAAACACTCAGCCAAGTTGGACCGGCCACATTCCTTCCTGACCTGCATTGAAGAGCAGCTATTCCTGGCTTAGGAGGTGCATGAGCCAACCAGAGGTAACACTCTCCTAGAGTTAGCCCTGGCCAAGGGAGATGACCTGGTGACTGACTTAAATATAGATGGTAGCCTGGGCAGCAGTGACCACAAAACCATCACATTCGCGGTTCATCGCAAGGCAGACAAATCTGATAGCAGGCTTGAAGTCTTGGACTTCAAAAATGTACATTTCAACAAGCTCAGGTCACTAGTAGGGGTAGCGCTACAGGACCAGGGACTGAAGGCAAAAGGAGTGCATGAAGAGTGGTCATTCCTTAAGGACACAATGCTGAAAGCACAAAGGAAATCCATTCCCATGTGGAGTGTCACAGGCCAGCTGGGCACTGTAAGTATATCAATTTAGTCAGACTGACTGGGTGCTGCAACTGTATTAGCCACCGGGCTGTTTGGTTCAGGATCGAGGAGGCAGAGTTGGGAGTAAAGCAATGGTAAATTTATTACTGCTTACATACACAACAGTTAACAGAAAGATAAATGCGATAAGCACATAATGCAGTAATATAGAGCTAATAGTAAATAATAACAGATAATAACAACAGATAGATAGATCAATCTGTCGCAGGCCAGCTAGGCACTGCGAGGGTATCAGCCACTGGGCTGTTCAAAACAACAGATAGATCAATCTGTCGCAGGCCAACTGGGCACTGCAAGGATATCAGCCACTGGGCTGTTTAAAACAACAGATAATAAAACCAGATAGATAGATCAATCTGTTGCAAACCAACTGGGCACTGTGAGGGTATCAGCCACTGGGCTGTTTGAAACAACAAATAGACAGACATGGGTTGGCAACTTATCGACAGTCCCTCAATGCCAGGTGTGCGCCAGGTGATTCCAGCAAAGTCAGGCGTCCCCAATCAACGCTGTTGGAGGGATTACTGGGGAAGATCCCTTGATCAGGATCCGATCCTCACTCACACGGGGAGTCTGGGGTCCGGGAGTGGAACAGCAATGACCGTTCTGTTCCCTCCTTCCTGCTGGTCACCTGACGCACGCACTTTTTATACTTAGTTTTATGCTAATCTGTTGGCTTTAGAGCCACTCACAATCTTGCCCTATAGCTGTTACCCTATGGAATTAAAAGGTGTTAAAAATTATCATAAAAGGTTACTACCCAAACTTGGGTTTATCCAATAAGCAAATTACAATGCAGCATCTTCAGGTTTGAAATTAACATTACTCTGCCTAAATCCAATCCCTTTAGATCTCTCTGACTATGCTTTTTTGAGACGTGCTTTCCTGGAATGTGCAGGGTGGGCCAGGCGGTTGAATCCAGTTTTTATCATCAAGGCTGAATTCTGAGCAAAAAAGAACCGTTAGGTCAGCTAATCTTACAGCTATAGCTTTGTCTTTGAGGCCCAGTTAGTTTCACGAACAGTTACATTAGCGGGTTACAAATTTACAAGCTTTATATTAGACAAAAATTCCAAATGCCTCGAAGAAGCACATATTTATTGCTTATTAATTTCTTTGGTTCTGGCCGTCACAGTGGAGGAAAGGTACCAGAAGGGCTGGGAAGCCCTCTTGGCTAAACAAAGAGATCATAGTCCTCCTAAGAAAGAGGCATACAAACAATGGAAGCTGGGGACAGGCTCCAAGGAGGACTATACAACAATGGCCCACACTTGTAGGGAACAAATTAAAAAGGCTAAGGCAGCAACTAAACTTAGATTAGCAATGGGAATCAAGGACAAAAATAAGTCCTTCTTTAGGTACTTAGGAAATAGGAGGAAAATGAATGGAAGTGTGGGGCCATTGCTCAACATCTCAGGATAGCTGGTTACCGGCACTCAAGAGAAAACTGATCTCCTGAATGACTACTTGGCTTCAGTATTTCACCGAGCCAAGGGAAAAATCATGCCAGATAAGGTACAGAAGGAACAGGACAGGAATGACTGCCTTTCTACTAATGCTGTAGAACTTGTATGTGATCAGTCTAAGAAATTAGACATATGTAAGTCAGCAGGACCGGATGAACTCCATCCGAGAGTGCTGAAGGAGCTGGCTGAAGTCATCACGGAGCCCCTGGCAAAACTCTTCCAAAACTTGTGGCACTCTGGAGAGGTCCCTTAGGACTGGAAGAGGGCCAATGTTGTGCCCATCTTCAAGAAAGGGAAGAGGGAGGACTTGGGTAACTATAGGCCATTTAGCTTAACTTCTATGCCAGGGAAAATCCTGGAAAAATTCATTAAGGAGTCTATGTGCAATAGGCTTGCAGAAGGTAGAATTCTGAATGACAGCCAGCATGGCTTCATCGCAGGTAGGTCTTGTCTTATCAACCTCATCTCCTTTTACAACCAGGTAACTTGTCACCTGGATAAGAGAGAGGAGGTGAATGTTGTATACCTTGACTTCCAAAAAGCCTTTGATTTGGTATCCCACAAGGTTCTCGCAAGAAAATTGGACTATTGTGGGCCTAACTGTGAGACAGTTAGGTGGGTACAAAGCTGGCTACAGGGTAGGACCCAGAGAGTCCTAATGAACGGATCTGCATCATCTTGGCGAGAAGTGGGTAGCGATGTCCCTCAGGGGTCAGTGCTTGGTCCAGTACTTTTCAACATCTTTATCAATGATTTGGATGTGGGGGTGAGGAGCTCACTGGCCAAGTTTGTGGATGACACCAAAGTTTTGGGGAAGCATGGTCACGCTTGAAGATAGGCTACAGATACAGGCAGATCTGGACAGGCTGACAAGTTGGGTGAGTTGGAACCAGATGAAGTTCAGCATTGAGAAATGTAAAGTACTCCACCTGGGGACGAACAACCCCCAACACACCTACAGGTTTGGTGGCACCAAACTGACCAGCACCTCGAATGAAAGGGACCTGAGGATAAGAATAGACCGTAGTATGAACATGTGCTGGCAGTGCAACACTGTAGCTAGCAGGGCAAATAATACTCTGGCATGCATCAACTGATGCATCTCCAGCAAAACCAAGGAAGTGATTCTTCCGCTCTACTCGGCATTGGTGAGACTACAGCTGGAGTACTGTGTCCAGTTCTGGGCACCGCATTTCAACAAGGATGTGGTAAAGCTTGAGAGAGTCCAGAGAAGGGCCACCTGTATGATCAGAGACTTGCATTGCAAGCCATATGAGGAAAGGCTGAGGGACCTGGGACTCTTCAGGCTGGAAAAGAGAAGGCTGAGAGGGGACTTGGTAGCAGCTTACATCAGGGGCATACATCAAAGGCTCAGTGAACAGCTGTTCACCAGGGCATTCTTGGGGAAAAGCAGGAATAATGGCCCCAAACTCCTCAAAGACTGTTTCAGGCTCAACATTAGGAAAAACTTCTTCCCAGCCAGGGTGTCCAGACTGTGGAATAAGCTCCCTCCAGAGGTGGTGCAATTGCCTACCCTAGAAATCTTCAAGAGGAGACTGGACAGTCACCTTGCTGGGGTAACTTGACTCCACCTGTCTTTCCTGTCTGGTGTAGGGGGCTGGACCCAATGATCTTCCAAGGTCCCTTCTAGCCCCTTACAATCTATGAATGATCAAGTGACCCTGGAATTTCTGCTCAGTTAATTAAAATTCATTGGGTTCCTGCAGTTTCTCACTGCAAGGCAGATTTTCCAGCATCCTGGGGCTCTCTTCTGATTCCTTTACAGTTTCTCAGCATACCCTGTACAGACTCAAACCCATAGCCCAGAGCAAGCTGGCACAAGGGACTCTCTTCTGGCAGCAGAGGCAAAGATTCTTGGGTGCTGCCAGCCCAAGCTGGATCACCCTAGCTGCTGTCTCAAACAGAAACAGGCTTGCCAAGAGGATGTGTTCAGGACCTAGCAGGCTGGGTGTGTGGGTGTTTGTACACATTAGGCTTTGTTTTGCCTCCCTTTGAGTTCAGAGTGCCTGAGTCATCCTTTGCCAGACAAGATTCCTTGGGTGAATTTGATATCTTTTATTAGACCAACCCAAATAGTTGGAGAATAGTTATTAAGCAAGGTTTTGAGTTCAAAAACCCTTCGTCAGGCTCAGGAAGTGTCAGCAGTTGGTGTGTGCTCTTCCTGGATGGAATGAAAAGTAAAGCAGCCAGGGGCTGGGCTGGGCTGGGGAGTCAGTTGCCAGGCAGATTATAATGTATCAAAAATCCAATGTCTATGTTTAGTCCCTGATCTCTAGTATCCAGGAGGTTTATGAAACGGAGCTCATAGGCTCGTCTCTGGGAAGTGTTGTGCAAGTTTCCCTTGAGGATCAGGACTGAGAGATTGGAGAGAGAGTGGCCCTCCTGTGAGAAATGTGCCCCCCGCTGGTAATTGGGTATTTCTGTCTTTGATAGATTTCTGGTGTGCGTTCATTCTGGTGCGCAGTTGCTGTTTGGTCTCTCCTATGTATTTTCCATCAGGGCATACCTTGGCCATCCTTGGAGCTTTTGGCTACCTTGACCTATATTGCATGACTTCCAGCTGTTTGGAACCTGGAACCCAGCTGTAGTTCCTCCAAGAGCTGTGGGCTTTACCAGGACAGTAATCATTTACCAGGACAGCTGGATTAGTTCTAGCCCCTTCTGCCTGATGATCTCAAAATGCTTCCATAGGAGGTAGGGAGGGAATCACTCTAAATGGACTGAATTACAGTGTGTCAAACAATGGCACTGGTAGAAACTAATCTTTTAAACAATTCAGGCAGCAGAAAGAGACTTGAAAGCAGATGGAAACAGCTGCTGGCAAAGGGGATCTTGCTGGCTTGTATGCAGGTATGGCAGTGTAAC